GGTTTTTCTCCCCTCCGTGCCTGGGCCACTACTTCACGGTTGAATCGTCGCCAGCGGGTCTGGAATTCCTTCAACTCCCGATTCGCCTGTGTAGGCAGGTACCGAGACCAGCTGAACCGCGCAAGTCCACCGCGAATTGCATGCTTCATGAGATTCTCCCGCAGAGGAGCGAGCCGCTTCAGCTCCTGGACCAGGTGCCGTGGCAGCCGTCCGTAGAACAACTCGCAGACCACCCAGAAAGGCAGCATCTTCAGGTCATGCGCCGGATGAATCAGTCCTCGGGCGAGGGATCCAGTCTCGGCAAGCTCTGGCTCCTGAAAGTAGGAACGCACGATCTCTTGGATCCGGTCGGTCTGGGCCACGCACGCCGGGTACAGGAAGGGAGGTTGGGTGACTGCTCGAACCGACTGCCACTGTGGTGGGCTGATCAGGCCCACGCATTTCCCTAATAGCTCGCCCAGTAGATATCCAGAATTGTTGTTCAATGCTTTGGTGTGTTGGTCAGAATCGAAAAAGACCGGTTGGAGGTGCTCCGGGCGTGTGAGCACGCTTTGCATCAGATCTCAGTTCTCTTTCTTCCTTTTCTTTTACCTGCGTGTGTGCAGAGACTTACACCTCGGGCTTCGTTCCACTCCAGATCCGGTAGATGCTTCCGAAACGCTTCTCCCAGCGCGGACTATTTTCAATGCCTTGTAGGAATTTGGCCGTGTCTCCTTGCCCATTGGGCCAGCGGTATGGACAAGAGGGCAAGTTTTTTGTGCCGTCTGCGCTTTTGATGGGATAGCGCCATGATAAGTAGACCTGTGATCCATTAACATCTGTTGCCCTTCCCTCCGGAGGAACTAACATTGATCGGTGCGGAAAGCACGTTGAGTAAAGGCTGTGGGAGGATCCCAGGGTAGGCCGCCTCCAGCACAGCAATACCCAAGAAGAAGCCTAGAAAGGGTCCGACAACGGCCAGACCCAAAGGATGGCCCAGAATCTGAAAAATCATGATGCCCATCTGGATGATTCCAGTACAGTGGTGGTAGCTCGTCTACAAAAGTAGTTTCGGGTTCCTCATCAAGGAGCCCTGGGAGAGCATTCCCTTTGCCGGCTCATCGATGGGACCGAAACCGTCTCCACGAAGCTAGGAGAGGCGCCGAGTAGCCCCTCGGCCTCCGAAGGGGCTTTTATACTCTGAGGTCTACCTGTATATATTGCTACATACATGGTGACAGCTCGGTCACTGTGGGGCCATGTAAAAGACAATTCCTCTTCTAACCAATTGTACAATTCACAGTCAGTTATCCGCTACCAGCCTCTCTGCCAATGCGCAAGCCAATTATGGAAAAGCTCTTCGACGTCCTCATCGTCGGCGGCGGCCCTGCAGGCCTGTCTACCGCATTAGGTCTCGCGCGCCAACTACACACGGCCGTGATCTTCGACTCCAACAAGTACCGGAACGATGCCACAAGCCGGATGCACAATGTGACCACGTGGGACCATCAGTCTCCCGCTGACTTCCGCGCCGTGGCCAGGAGAGAACTGCTGAACCGCTATAACACCATCCAGATCCAGAACACGGAGATCAAGGAGGTCCGTCAGACCGGTAACGGCACCTTTGAGGCGATTGATGCCGCGGGCCAGGTCTGGGAGGGACGCAAGTTGGTGCTCGCCGTCGGTGTCCGGGATATTCCTCCTGATATTGACGGGTATGCTGCGGCTTGGGGGCGTGAAATGTAAGTCTCGCCAACTAGATGGTGTGTTATTCTCTGGTGGAGATGTGTATTAACCTTGCCATAGATTCCACTGCCTTTTCTGCCATGGCTGGGAGGAACGTGGACAGGAATCAGTCGGTGTGCTCGCCGTTGGCGACTGTGCTGACATGGGCCCGGCCATGCACCTTGCTCGGATGGCACGACGGCTGTCGGAGAGGGTTACGGTGTACACGGATGGCGCCGTAGAACTGTCTCAGACGCTTGAAGAGCCCTTGAAGCGCGAGGGGTTTGAGCTCGTCACGACACCGATTGCCAAGATCAACATGGAGTCGGAGGACGAGGGAGTCACCGTCGGTCTGAATGACGGAAGTACTCGCAAGGAGGGATTCCTGGTATGTCCTTTCGTCCTATCTTGAAATGATAGACCACTTATCAGTCTAAAGGTCCACAAGCCCAAATCGGAAGTGAACGGCCCGTTTGCTCAACAGCTCTCTCTCCAGCTCACGCAGGGCGGAGATATCTCGGTCAAGCCTCCTTTCTACGAGACGACTAGTGTGCCAGGTGTCTTTGCTGTAGGGGACTGTGGGTCAGTAGGGAAGGCTGTTGCGCAGGCCACGTCCACCGGCTTGTGGTGTGCGTCAGGTTTGGTGGCTCAACTGCAGGCGCCTGTCGCCAAAGTATGACTTTGATCTGTCGGGGCACAGGTTGTTCAATTAGTTATTCTATCTTCTCTAGCATTTGAAGCTATAGCATCTACGGCATATAATTTGTACCGTCTCTCCTAGACTTCCAAGTTAGCCAACATAAACTACATACATCCAGATAATACAGCAATAACGGAAATCTAGGAAACGAGCATTTCTCGGACACCGAGGGCCATCTTAGCAATAGCGTTATAGCTCTATAGACTTACACCAAGGCCTAGTAATTACTGCTACATCTGTCTACGATATGTTCTCGCCATAAATCTGACTTGCTTGTCCGTTCAAAGGGCACAGTGTAAGCCCACCGTAATTCATGGTCAGTTTTTGGAGTGCATGAAAACAATATTCCTATTTTCTCTAGCTCGGATACAATATAACCTGTCAATGCGCTATCTGAGTTGTTCCTAACTGTAACTCAAGCTTCTGATCTCCGTTTGATGCGAATCTTCTGTTCAGGATTCGGCACCAGCTGACCCTCAATGCACAGACTGGGAGGTCTCTCCGTGACATTCCCTTCCCATTCGACCAGGTAGTCTAGCATGAGACGGCAAAATACCAGCTTCACTTTGCGAACAGCGTAGAAGCGGCCCACGCAGGCATGCTTTCCGTAGCCAAATCTACCAAAGGTCAGCGAGAATCTCCGAGAGGGCAGGACAAGACTTACGCAAGATTCGTCTTGGTCACTGTTGCCGAATTGTACAGTTGCTCGCGCGAATCAGAGGAGGGGTCCTTCTGACTTGCCAGGCGTGCAAATCTGAACCCGTCAAACTCATATGGGTTGTCGAAGTTGGCGTTGTCGCACATGATGGCACGCGAGGGAAAGGCAATCCGCGCGCCGACGGGCAATGTGGTTCCGTCGTGGAACTGGAAGGGCTTTCCCATGACGGTTCGTGCGGCCGTGACTAGATTCCTAGTTTAGTTTGGTTTCCAGCTTGTCTTAATGAATGTACGTACCCGCGCCATTCGGATACAGGCGGTTCGTCTCTCGCAGGAAGCTGTCGACGAGAGGGATGTTGTTCAGCATCTTGTCAGTCCAGCCATGCTCGGCAATGGCGCTGCGGATCTCCTCCCTCATCGGCTCCAGGTATTCCGGGTATGTGAGAACCTGATAGACCATCTGTGTCAGCAGCCCTCCTGGTGCGCCGCTGCCGGCCCAGAGATTCTGGAGGATCTGGTGGGCCAGTCGCTCCGGTGTCTTTTCCTTGTCCGATGGTCCTGCCAGCTCAATCGTGAATTGCACCATGTCGAATGGCCTGGGCCCGGTGGGATCGCGCTTCATCTCCTCCAGGCGCTTTTCGATCACGGGGATCAAGAGCTGCATTAACTTGTTCAAGGTCCTGCGGTGACCGAACGAGCCGATCCAAGAGACCATCTTGCGGAAAGGTCCCAGCGAGAGAGTCGACAGCATGACCCCGTTCATGAACACTGACTCTGAGAACTTCATGGACAGCCTGATATACTCTGGATCACGACAGATTTCCTCCCCGATCAGGATCCGGCTGGTCACGCGGTGCATCAATGTTGAACAAATCTGAAGGGCATTGTACGTTTTCCAATCTAGCCATTGCGTCAGGACGAAGATTTGGCCAGGAATCACGGATCACGAACTCTTTGCATCTCCCAGCTCTGCAGAGAATGTGTGGTCGCATTCGTTGACCAGATACGACATCGCCTTTGCTATTCATCAGTCAGAGGATGCCTGTTTGACCGAGTGAGGAGGGTAGCCACAAACGTAAATTGGGATTCAGCCGTCTTTTGACCGCATCGATCATTATGTTGGTGCTGTACAGGTCCCCAACCGACGCTTGAAGATGGAAAGCCTAGAAAGTCTTAGTTTCGAGACATTGCAAGAGGATCAGGCTCTCAAATACATCGCTCAGACTCTGGAAGAAACTCAGGCTATCGAAATCCGCCTTGCGAAGGTCGTCCAGATACTTGGCCGGCATGAAAAGGCAGTCTTGCCCCCACCAGTTGATGACAAACGGCTTTTCAAGGGCTTTGTTGACCTGTGAGTGTCAGTATCTTGCTGACGTGACAAGGAAGAGACTGTATCTACCTGGAGGTAGCCCTGCTCGACAAGTTCATCAATGTACCATCGTATCGACTTCTGCCCCGACAACAGGGATAGCATGCGAGACTTTCCCAGCCGATGTGCTTTATATATCTGCTCTGGAGAAAAGAGTAGGGACAGGAAGAGGAATGTCAGGAAACTCGCGGCTATGGGGACATATGCGGGTACTCTCTCGAAGACGGTTGAGGTAAAGACTGCCATGGTGTTCTGCCGGTATCACGACGTGTGTTATTCTCAGAGGTGTACGCAAAGTAAAGATAGAATATGGAATATGTCATGCCCCGTATATTTATCCTTAACAATCGTTTGGATGTCTAGATCTTCCATCTAGTCAAAACCAACAGACTAAGCTGTTGATCGGGGACCGATGTCACCTCCGACACGCCGAATCGATGGGGTCGGTGATAGTCCAGTAAGCAGTGGTCTGATTGATGTCTTATCATATTGAAACAATATTGCTAATTGCCTGAACTTGGATTTATAGTTGGAGAGGTGATCAAGTGTTCAGTCCACACATCCATCGCCATGGACAGGCTACTCCTAGTAAGTCAGCATGAAACATATCAGCCACTTCTAACCAAAATCTAGGTGTCGGATACAACACGTGGATTCCTCCCTTTGATCGGGTCTATCCTTGTTTTTTCTGTTATCTATCGGCTGCTACAGCTCCTCCGGCACAGAATTACCTACAGGGAGTTTTATCGCCTGCCCGTCTTGGGCGAGAGAGATGGCACCGACCTTCGAGCCGCCATGGAGGAGGGGACCAGGAAAGTAAGAAACATCGAAATGATCAGGAGCCGTCTACTAAAAATCAAACAGTTTCCTGATCGTCCATTTGTCTTGTCACTTCTGGATCCCACTGTGATCCTCCCTCACCATGTCATCGACGAGGTCAAGTCACTGCCCGAAACCAGAGTCTCCATAGAAGCCAACAACCATCGCCGGTTTTTCGGGGAATATACCCTCATGGGCACCAAGTCAGACGAGCTGGTAGCTTCCGTCAAGCAGAACCTAACTCGCAACGTTGGTCCTTTGATTCCTGAACTGATAGAGGAAATTGCCCACGCCACACCCTCGGTCATTGACGTTTCTCCCCGGTCGCCCAGCGTGACTCTTCCGGTCTACAACACGATGCTGAGGTATATCGCGCTGCTGACCGGACGCACCGTCGTGGGACTCCCCCTTAGTCGCAGCGAAGAGTGGGTGAGCTCCTCGATCAACTATGCCGTGGAGAGTATGGAAGCTGGACACCAGCTTCGGGCCTACCCGGCGTCGATTCGGAAATGGCTGGGGCCGCTGCTCCCTAGAGTCCGAAAAGTAAAAGAGCACCAGCTTCGCATCTGTCGAATGCTGGAGGGACTGCTGCTTGAGCAACAGAGGTCTTTCAACCCTAAGGAGAACCTGGACAATGAACGCGGCCGCCTGGCGTCGTGGCTCCTCCAGCACTATGATTCCCCGTCCGAGGTCCCGGTGCAAGTCCTCTGTAAAGACCACATCCTAGCCTTGTTTGCTGGTATACATATTGCTACAAATGCGGTGACTCAGGTCCTCATCGATCTGGCCGCGCGGCCTGAATGTCAGGCGCCACTGCTGGAAGAAATCGAGTCTGTTTTGGGCACGGCAGACGAGCGACGAGATATTACATTGTCCGAGATTGCCAGGATGAGCAAGCTCGACAGTTTCATCAAGGAATCGCTATATGTCAATCCTCCTGGTGGAGTAGGTCAGTACTTCTTCCTTCTCTCCTCGAGCGCCGATTCCCATTCATGACAATCATCTTTTCTAGTCACCCTCATGCGTGAGACGACCGCTCCTTTGCGGCCTTCATGCGGTCCTCTCCTGCCCAAAGGAACCTTGATCGCATTCGCCAACAATCGCTTCGACATGTCTACCGTGCCTTCACACAACCCAGACGATTTCGATGGTTTCCGCCATGCTCGACTGAGAAACGCTGCAACTGGTGACTCAAAGCATCAGCTTCTTATGCCCAGCTCGGAATCTCTGACATGGGGGTATGGGATCCATGCATGTCCGGGGCGGTTGTTTGCAGCCACGGAGATTAAACTGATTGTGATTCATCTCCTTACACGATTCCAGCTTCGGCTGGGGAGCCATAAGAACCGGCCGCCTAGTAGCTCCTATGACTTTCAGATCATGCCGGATCCAAAAGCACAGATTACATTCACGTCAAGGTCCATACGGAAGGTCTGATGGTGGGAGTACAATTGCATGATGAATATTGTACGTGCTTCTCATAAAGAAATCCGGCTCTCTGTATGGAAATCTATATGAAGTACGGATTTTTACTTGAGGTGAAAGGCGACGAGGTTCCGGCAGGCGTTATTCCGAGAATGACACCAAGCGACAACACTGGTGCACGATAAGCAGCATATTGTATTGTAGTGGAGGGACACCTAGGGGATGTTTAGCTATATAAGACTTGGCAGTTACCTCCCTAGTGCCGTCGCTAAGCTTAAACAGAGCAAAAGTGGAGTAAAATGACATGGACCATAAGTGCTTGACAGCCTAATGCTCTCCAACATGGACACTAATGCAGCTTTTGTCTATTCTCCGTCTGCGAGTGGCCAGACGAGGTCAAAATGGACCCTTCATTGCCATGGCGGCTGCACTGCATATACTGGCGCCAAAACATGGCCTCATATTGGCCAGCGATCCAACAACCCTGGATTTCCCATCTATTCTTGGAGCCCCTTAACATTTCTTTTAAAACAGTCCTCCCCGCACACGGATCCTCATGAAGTTGCGAATTTCCTCGTTATTCAAACACCGTGCCATCTGGTCATTCTCTGCGGATCTGATGGCCCTCCATCATCTCCTCCTCAGGCTTTCCGTCTTGATCTCCCTCGCCAGGGCCACAGATACCTGTTACTGGCCAAATGGCAAGGCTGCGCCGTCCAACTGGGTACCATGTCCCAATAGTAAAGTCTGTTGCGCAGTCGGGGAGGCGTGCCTATCGAACAACCTCTGCTATGGTTCCAAGCTGAACATTGCCTACCGCGGCGCATGTACCGACATCTCCTGGCCGATTGCAGATTGTCCGCGCATTTGCTACGAGGGTATATCTGATCTATACATTGGGGCAATGACACTCATTAAACCCTACTGACTCTGCCCTTCAATTCTCTAGAAGTCAGCGATCAATGGGCAAACCTGTACCCGTGTCCCAACAACACCAACCAAGTCTTCACCTGCGGCACAAGCGGCTGGGCCTCGTCTGTCTGCAGTGCAGATCTGGGCCTGTACACCTGGATCGCTGGGAATGTGAGCCTCGCGCAGAATGGCATGTCGAGCTCGTCCTCTGCTGTATCGACTTCATCCTCCGCGACCCAGTCGACGACGACAACCACGACTCCTTCCTCCTCGACTGATTCCGCAGCAACAGCCACCGCCGGGAATTCGGAGCAGGATAAGCATGCTTTGTCCCTAGGGATTGGATTAGGGGTTGGTCTTGGGGTTCCGTTGTTAGCGATATCAGTAGGATTTCTGTGGCTGTGGTCTCGCACACGGCGGCAGTCGGTTAATGGGCAGATTCAACAGCCCGTCGTGCAGTACCCAGCGGGGGCTCCCGGTATGGCTCCTGCGTATCGTTCTAATGGTGGGATGGGGGAGTTGGAGGTTCCAAAGAGCAATTCTTACAGACCGGAATTAGAATGATGTGGTGTATTGTTATTGTTATTGTGGAGAGCGAGTTGTACATCTAGAACATGCCTATTAGCCACCAAACTTTTAATGCTCACTTTAGATATTTCGTTTATAAAGCTTAGACAAACTCTAAATTCATACTCGGTTGTAGTATGCTACAACCCCTGCTAGAATGTCGGCCGATCAGAGGGCGAGGTGCTGGCTGCGAATCGACAAAATATGTCATTGAAAGAGTGAGACTACTTGAACAGATGCTCTTTCCGCTCTTCCTCTTCAGATCATGCTCCGTTACAATGCTGGCTCGACGGACGATATCGAGTCGCGTCCTCTCAGCCGCCGAGAGAGAGCCATTCCCCAGGCTTCTACACATCGTCGCTGCCATTTCTTCCAGGGCGTACAACCCTGAGACAAGCAGTCGTCCCTCGTCTGCCTTCTCTCGCACTCGAATGGCGTGGTGTAACCTACGCCTGGTCGAATGTCGGCATGGTTTCCCACTTTGTCGCCTTTAGACTAAGTCTAACCAGCTCTCTGTACTGCAATGACCCCTGAAGGAGAAACGCGACGGTGTCCTTGTCCATTGCTCGGTAGAGGACCATATTGATGGCTGCGATTAACCTGCTCGGTGCAGTGGGGATGGAACGGGAGAGTGTGAAAATGCCAAAGCGTAAGACCGAAGACGTTCATGGCTATACCCGTGCTGCATGAGGTCATCCAAATCAGCACCACACAAACACACGGGCGCCAGGGCGCACAGCAGAATGGCATGAAGCATATCACAAAGAATCTGAATCACTGAACCCCTCCTTTAGAGCTGACAGAGTTTCGCAGACTATAGCCTGGACTTGATATGTACAAGATGCCAGACTGACATTTTGCATATATCATCTCTGCCCATGGCTTAGGGCAAGACAGCCGGCTAGGAGCGTATCACGTGATCCAGCCCACTATTGCTGTCGGCATCCTCAACTTGGATTTTGGAACAGTACATCTCTCTCCGTATTTGACTCGAGATTCCTGATCTTTATACCTCCACGCAATGAATGGAAACAATCAATCCGGATCAACATACGCTTGCTGGCTTCCAAATGAGATTTGGATGCGAATCGCGTATTTTCTACCTCGGATGCCTGATCAACCCAGATGGCAGCCGTGGATCAAGTATCGCGGGCTGAACAGGATATTCAAGAAAGAGATTGAAGATTACTACTTCATGCACTGGATCGAAGATTCAGAAATCTGGGTGCAATGCCGCGAAAGGGATCCACCGGATTTCCCTGAGTCACGTCTGGATGTGCGTGAATTTTATAGTTTCTCTAGCCTTCTTGATTCTGAAAAGCGCATCGCTGTTTTCAAGGGTCAACATTTGAATCGGACAGACCCGCGAAGCCGTCTGGAATTAATTCGAATAGAGAAAAAGCTGAAAGAATTCAATGAGAAAGGATACCATCCTTACATCGCCTTTTTGATTGAAGACGGAGAGACCAATTTGCTTCCCATGGACCTTTGTTTTCAGCCTTGTGTTACGATGAGTTATTTTACCTTTGACTGGCGAACTTATCTCTCCACTCTGCTCGACGAGCTGCGCCTTGTTGACGAGTATGAAGAGCGCACTGGGGTATTGTTTTCTTAGATCTTGTTTCAGATGATTGTTTCAGTGCACATTCGGGACAGTACAAATCCCAAGCCCGACTCGCAGCGAAACTGGAATGGAAAGTAAAGACGGAAAGGATGACGCCTCTGGAAGCAAGGCTAGAACTGGCGCGGGCAGCAGGAACCGAGCTTGTTGGCCGTGATGGCCGACTGCTCGAAATCCGCAGACGTCGCCGATACCGCTTAGGAGTCAGAACCGGCCAGTTGCGGCCTCTACCACCCTCCCTTGTTCCAAGGAATGTTCTTGAACATCGCTTTGTGCAGCTTGACGAGGAACACGTGTCAGACTTGCTACTGAGCATGGCATGGAACGATGATGGCGCCGTCTATGAAGAGTGGTAGCTAGGATGAAGGCACGGGCTCGTCTGTTGATCATTCGAAGGGCCTTCAACACAGGATGAAACCTTCCAAGGCGTAGTTCTTAGAACAAATTGAGTGTTCACCAGGGTGACAGCCCTGGTTTACTTCGATTTTCCACGGATTACAAACGATCATCTCCAAGTTTTCAAAGGAACCGAAAGCTGTAGGCTAGGGCAGCTCCAAATTGAGGAGAGTCGTCCTCAGTCGAATTGAATCTCGAACAGTGTCCCTCTCCGTGGGGTTGGCTCGCGCCGCGATTGCAGCATAGATCGACAAATGCTTCACAGTCGAGCATAGCTCGTAGGTACATCACTAACCAGATCATATCGTCTCGCCTCTCTGGCATGCGGGAAGATGTCACTGGCTGGATCTCATTGGGCAGTAATCGCACAACTCATGCACTTCGAGGAAGACCAACCAATGAAAAGTCGCATAGGCGCCTGCAACATATTTCCGTCTTATAGTCCGTGCAGATCGACCGAAAGCCGAAGGACGAGCGTTGACCGTATGATGTAGCAAGGCTGATTGCCACCTCTTGAGGTAGGACACCAAGATGCGGGGTTGCTCGGAGGGTATAAGTTGCCAACGTAGCTCCAAGCAGGGTTGACCACGTTACGACCGGAGGAGCTGTCTCGCTATCCCCAAAAAGGCATCATGCAGTCTACAGAAACCATTCAAGCGGTGCAAGGCTATTATGGAGGATTAGCTGAGCGCGGCTCCACGGACAAGTCTGAGGATTACCAGATGAGCGTTGCGAAGGCGTTTGGCTATGACCCGGAGGATTTGAAATCCCTTCCCAAGAATGCCAATCTGGGAGTCAGCTGTGGTAATCCTTTGGCGTTGGCAAGCCTAAGAGAAGTATGTATGACCGGTCAGTCGCCTGTGCACGTCTGACTGCGACAAAATAGGGCGAGACTGTGATCGATCTAGGCAGTGGCGGCGGCATCGATGTCATTCTCGCTGCTCGCAAAGTCGGTCCGAAGGGAAAGGCTATCGGGGTGGACATGACCAAAGTGAGAATCCACTTCTAGGGACAGATGTATGCTTCAGGCAAGAGACTTACTTCCAAATCAACCAGAAAATGCTGGCCCTCGCCCATCAAAATGTCGAAAAAGCTGGCATCTCCAACGCTTCCTTTGTCGAGGGGTTCATCACTGCTATCCCACTCGAGGATTCGACAGCCGACTGCATCATCAGCAATTGTGTCGTCAATCTCGTGCCAAAAGAACAGAAGAGCCTCGTCTTCCATGAGATGTTCCGGCTTTTGAAACCTAGAGGTCGAGTTGCAATCAGTGACATCCTTGCTCGACAGGAGCTTCCGCCCGAGGTCGTGAACAATTTGGCGCTATATGTTGGCTGCATCGCTGGTGCCAGTCAGGTACAGGAGTATCATTCGTATCTGAAGGACGCCGGATTTAGCGGTACTCCCGACCGATCCACTTGCGACTGACCAGAAGATGCTGATGCTATGCGCAGACATAATGATTGTGGACACTAAGGCAAACCTCAATGTCTACAAAGATATGCCGCAGGGGAAGAAGCCTGGTTGTTGTGGCATGTCCTGCTCCGATGTTCCAAACAGCAAGATTCAGGACTATGACTGTAATGAATGGGCGGGTGAGTTGTGCTCGATGAGGCTCCCGTTGTGGCTAACACAGTCTCTAGGCTCTTTCCAGATATACGCCGTCAAGCCTCGTTGACCGTTCTGAACGACACCAGTCGTTGTTTGTTTCGTACTCGGTGAGAAACGCGATTGACATCAAACTACGTCTGGCATTGATATCCAGCATGTATTCATCTAGACTGAGAGGAGAAAATGCAGAGGCAGAGGGAATCCGTCTCTCGCCGTTTTCAACTTTCATCGATGGGCCTTGTATAAGATAATTGGAGATTTTCTGTTGGGGAAAAAAGAAATCAAATGAATGTAGAAGACGCTGATCAAAAGGCACTCTTAGTGAGAATGACACTTTGCCTGTGGTATCCTATCGTAGTATCACCTGATCGTCTGCCTATTGCTGGCTTGAAGCGACCGCAATCAGGTCGCTTAACCCTGTGAAGAACCTGAGCTTTGGTTAATCTTCGGTTAAGCAATGGTCTGGCAAGCGCAAGCTTGTCGCTCACAATTGACAAGCCCATATAGTCCTCGGAAAAGGACGTCGCCTCTACTCAATGCTCATTGTAACCCACTCTGAGGAAGGGGGGCTTATCCGGCTGAGAGTAGTGAAAGTTCACTTAAATCCCGGAGAAGACCGGTACGGCAATGTTGTTCCCCCTGTACTATGTCGAAGTACTGGCGTCGTTAGGCTGCAGACAAGGTCTACAGCAGTTCAACGACGCTGGCCACATAAGCCCTCGGCGTGCCGTATCCTGAGCTCTTTTGTTCGGATACCGAACGTTGCACACCGCTGATTTGCATCTTTGAACGAACGTAATCTTCCCTAGCGAATGCCATTCTCACTCACTCTCGTCGTTCTCATTGGGAACCTGGCTTGCGACCTGTGTGCTAGTGCCGACACCACTTTCGCGCCGGGTGTTAGTACTTCTTCTTCGGCCTTGCATGTATGTATCCGTGGTCGTAATGGCTCTCTCGCCAACGAATTTGTCACCGGGCCAAGGAGCCTTGCATACAGGACACTGCTCAGCCTGCCGCATACGGAAGAAATTGCGAGTGCAAATATCGTGAAGTCGGCCCGAGCAGTCACGGTTGCCGCAACGTTGACCCTTTCGAAACGTCAATTGTCATACTAATCAGCAAGAGCGTAGTTTGCAAACCCACCACCGTAATAATATCCTTGCATGCTGCGCAGAACTTGATCTTATCCACTCTCCGCCCTTCGTCGTTCTCATTATACGTAGCAACAAGCCAGCCACGCAGCTCCATCAGCCCCCGCGGACTCAAACTGTAGAATCCCTTCCGGCTCTTCTCAAGCCAGCCTTCCTCCACAAGCTGCTTCAAGACCATCTCCGCCTGCGACATGGTCAAAGACTGCGCCGCTCCTCCCTGATTTTGCTGTGTGGCGGCCTGGGACTCCCGTCGACTTGCATCCGAGGAAGCCTTAGCAAGCTGCATGGCCTGTATACCACTGACTACCATGGCCTCAGATCGTCGTGTATTGTAAGTATCGAAGATCGCGTCAAGAACACGCTTGATGAAGGCAATCTCGTCTGCCGAGTAGGTGGTGGCTAATTGCATGAGAGGATCACTGGTGGTATTCACAAGAGCATATACTCGTTCAGCTTGCGTAGTTCCGTTTTCTTGCTGATCTATCTGTAACTGGCGTAGGCTACTCCTAATTTCCAGGTCAAACGGAGAAATTGCGGCGTTGGCGGCATTAATATAGGAGTCGAGATCTTCTTGCGACACATCATCCGCGGAGACAGGTTGACCCTCTATCATCATGCACAGATTAGCAAGTCCTTGTAGTCTCTCGTATATGACTTCATACCGTGCGCCGAAAAGATCGCTGCCAGAACAGGTCTGGCTTCCTCGAAAGTCATGGTCGAACGCGCCATGAACGCTTGGAGAAACGCGCGGTTACTATCGTTGTAGCCATTTGCTCCAACATCATTTGCCATCATGTCGTTTGTGACAGTTGCCCTTCGCTAAGTTGATAAGCCAATCTATCGATAAATTTCAGTACAATCTTAAACTTTGGGTTTTTGTGCGGGGAAAGTCATTGCGACGCGATAGAACCAACGCGACCCGCGTATCGGATGCCAAGGCCGAGACGGGCAATTTCCGTCGATCGCATATATGCGCCTATTACTTGCGACGGACTGCTGACTATCAATACTCAAAGGTCGCTAACCTACTACCTTAAAGGAAGGGTGGGTATGATGATGGTAGCTTCTACATTAGAACGAGCTAGCTTTGATATCATGCTAAGCGAACAAGAAGGTACAGATGACAGTTGTCACAATCTCCCCAACGCCGAATATGGAACAGAAATCATAGATGAGACCCCCTAAAATCTCCGCCTGGTAGGCTCCGGACTAGGACTCCGGCTGACACTTCTCGCGTCCCGGCCTCGTTCTCTGAGCCACTTCTTGGTGCTCAAGCGAAGCTCACGGTCGAGCTCGGGGCTGGGATCTTTCCGGTGAATGAAATTGCAGAATCCGCCTCGTACGCATCCTTCGCCACTATTCAACCGACAACACGCTTCTCGGAAATCTGTCACTGGTGATAACTCGCAGTATATCGGTCGTGCTGCGTACCAGCGCGAATTGAGTGCATCGCATGCAGCTTGTGCGTCCTCTTCGTATTTGAATCGCGCGTAGACGTTGCCGATTAGATCTGCATGATAGACTCAGTTAGCGATGGTTCTCTTAAGATATTGATTTGCAACATAGCACTTACGGTCATTGTTGTTGTCGCACACAACCAATTCCTCCAACTCGCCGTACTTGCACATCTCGCACCACACATCCTCATAGAACGCATCGAAGTGGTTTTGCAGCTGGCTAGGGTTCATCTTGTTCTTTGGGTCGTAGGCCGGGTTCTGGTACATGTTGGGCATCAGGATCGTCTGGGAGTATGATGGCTTGACATGCTTGCGGGAGCATCTGTCACCGTGTCTGCAGGCGCCAATCTTGTAGTAAAAGGAGCAATTGACCTTGTCCTGTTCTGTACCGAAAATGGAGGCGAGATAGTTGGCCATGATGATCTGCCGATGGTAGAATGAACACGGATCACTTGTAGTACGAGGAACGATGAGGAGGCGAAGAGAGGACTGTAGGTGACCCAAAGAAGAAAGTGAGGATGTAAGAGGGGGAAAGAGTTGGTAAGATGGTGCTAGAGCAGGAGATGAGGCTATATGTCCCTTCGCATAGCTTGAAGATTCTGGAGAGCTCGATCGCGTGGCGGAGATGCTGACTAACTCTTGTAGGAAGTTTCTGGCCTCAGGCCACAAATTACTGGAACATTAATTTTCCGTTGGGGCATAATTAGTCATTGCTGCATTCAGTGTTGCATAAATTTTCACCCTCCCCATCATAACTCTTTTGCATCTGCATTCGATCATTGAAGTGGGCAATTGTTCTATGCATATCAGGGGTGAAGTAAGACGACATCTCGCTATGCATACATCTAAAATCTAAGTCGCCAAATCTAAAATCGGGTCTTGCTCTTGTGTTCTATCGCAAGCCCACTCACATCTACATCAGGCTCAACTCCCTTCACCATTTGCGCAATCACTTTCCCAGTTCCCAATGACAATGAGATACCCCACGGACCATGGCCTGACGCAATGAAAACGCCTCCCTTTCCTCTACCAGTCTCAGTTCTGTTTCTAGAACCAGTTTTGAGCTCGCCTAGCAAGTCATCGTCAACTCTAGCGACGAAGGGAACTCCACGCGCGGAAACGGGGCGGAAACATAGGCCTTCACGCAATATCTCCAAGTCATTTGTGTTGGCAATGTTGTCTGTCGATTCCACACTGTCTTCAGTCAGTCCTCCCATCAGACGAACCGCCACCTTTGTCAATCGTGTTATCTCCTTCTGTTCCATTATCCTGCACGAGTCTTCCGCCTGAGCTGGAAGAGGGATATGTGTGTGGTTCAGACCGGCTATGTAGATCTCTCCACCTTGGCGAGAGAAAATCTCGGGACAGAAACCGCTTGAAACAGGGTGTGACATAAACACGGCATGACTGCGGCCAGCGTATGTTACCCTCTCGTCTTCGAGCGTGTATCTAGGGGAACGAATGACAAGAGAGTATCCAGCCAAAGAGGTGATTGGAATTGAAAGACGAGACGAAGGGAACAGATCATGATAGACTTGTGGTGTCCAGGGTCCAGCGCAAATGATAATATTTGTGCATGGAAGCGTGCACTCGGCCCGAGTAGCCAGATTGACGATTCTGACCCCGGTGATCGTGCCACTGACTTGATCTGTAATGATGGATGTGGCCTTGGCCGGATTGTGCAATCTGACACCGCGGGACAAAGAACTCTCCAAAAGAAATTTTGACAACCTCAATGGGTCTCTGGAAAGCCGTCAGTTCATCACGCGCCAGAGTTCTCAATGATCATGACTAACACTTGAGCAACAGTGTCGTCGTCGCTAATCTTCTCAAGAACCCCTTCCTTCTGCTTCGTCAACCAACCCGGTACCTCCGCATGAATATGGCTGCTGGAGCTGGCAGTTGTTTCTGCTCGACTTGTTCCTGCACTTAGCCAGTCATCTCCATGAGCGCCTCCTTTCTTCTTGGCGGAGACGTCCAGGCTCAGTGCTGTGCCTTTCATGTATCCCCATTTCTGCGCACCTCCATGCTTGGCGGCCAGCGACTGATGCAGATTGAAAGAAAGAGCTCCCAGGGGTGCAAGGGCTGGCGCAAACCAGTCCTTGGCTAGGAAACCTGCAGCATATCCCGATGCAGCACTGAACAATTGAGACGATGCCTCAACAATATGGATCTCGTCGGATGATACATTTTCAGATAGGTAGTAGGCGATTGAGGATCCGATAATGCCTCCTCCAAGGATCACAGTGGACATATTGCCGTTCCGGGTGTTAAGGGTCGTCCTAGGTTGATTACGTCGCTATGCCCCTGGACGTCATCAGTGATTTGTGTGAACAATAGCCTTAGAGCATACTTTTACTTACATCAAACAGCAAAGTGCGTCCTTTGTCTGTCAAGATTGTATTCTCGATAGACTTGAATGGTATATGGAAGGCGAAAGAGTGGAGTGGTGTCTATAGCCGGGGTAGGACTGCGGCAGGCCCTGAGGATGTTGATCCACAGCCTTTGAACGATGCTGGGCACTTGATTCGTGCTTATGGAAAGGGAGCTCTAGAACTATACACCTCCCTAAGTGCCGGAATTCAGCAGTGACATTCTTTCTCCCCGAAGTCCTAAAGTCGAGAATCCAGTGCGTAGCTGCCAGCAGTTCTTGCCACTGTGAAGATATGGATGCCGTGTCTGGGCCTAATGTTCTCCATGGGTCCGCGGTAAATAAGGATGGCTCAGGGCATGCATTTCACCAGCAAGGCGGACGAAACTAGATTTTCTTGCTCGGCACTTTAAATTTGGCTTTAAGACTCATGATAATTGTAAACAGGAAGGTTTTCTCTGGGCAATTGAGGAACTTATTAAGATATACTGATAGCATTGTGCGGCATCTTCGCCGACAACCCCGCGTTCCCCTCACTGCAGAAATTACATCACTGCCGCTGGCAGCATTTTTCTTCGTCCCTCCCGACAACTCGATTGGTCCTGCTCATTCTTCTTCAGTACTAGAAGTACAACTCAAATTCCTGTAGGCTTCTAAGCTCGCTGTACTCGCTTTTATTTGTCGCTTTCTTTTGTCAATCTCGGAGACAAAATGTCGGGCAAAACCATCATTGTCACCGGCGCCTCGAGAGGTACTTTCATGAAGCATCCCCTCAAATACACACATACTAACTCACATTACGCAAACTTATCTCAGGCATCGGACTTGCCATTGCAAAATACCTTCTTACCGCGCCACAATCGCACAATGTCGTCGTGATCGCTCGCAGCGTCGAACCTCTCCAGAAGCTCAAGGAACAGTACAACAAGCAGGTCGAGGTGCTCAACGGCGATCTGGCAGATTTCTCTCTCGGCCAGAAGGCAGTCGACCTGGCTATCAAGTCCTTTGGCCGCCTTGATGGGATGGTCCTCAACCATGGAATACTCGGACAAGTCGGTAAAGTCGACAGGGCAGAGCCTGAACAGTGGAAGCTCGGATTTGACGTGAATTTCATCAGCTTTGTCGCGTTTGTAAGACATGGCCGTTGCTGGATGTTGATTTTCGAATGCAAAAGGACTAATTGACTCCTATGATAGGTCAAAGCTGGTCTACCGGCCCTTCGCGAGGCCAAGGGAAAGATCATCTTCACTTCCTCTGGAGCTTCGGTGTCCGCCTACCGAGGCTGGGCTCTTTATGGAGCAACCAAGGCTGCGATGAATCATCTCGCCTTGTCTTTGGGCGAAGAAGAACCCGATGTTACCACCATCTCGATCCGGCCCGGAATGGTTGACACTGAGATGCAGCGCGAGTTGAGAGAAGACCACGCTACGACTCTTGAGCCTCAAATGCATTCCAAATTTACAACTGCGCACAAGGATGGAAAGCTACTGAAACCCGAACAGCCCGGCCATGTGATGGCTAAGCTGGTCCTTGACGCTCCAGCTTCACTCAGCGGAAAATTCCTCTCGTAAGTCATCTGTTTATTCATGCTAAACGCTAACTAACGACGAAATAGATGGAATGACGAAGCGCTAAAAGACTTCCAAGCATAAATATTCATCTACAATTGAGGCCTGTATATGACCGTCAGCACATATCGCAACCAACGAGCAGATAGAAATAAACGGCAAGAAATTGTAAATATAATCAGCCGAAAGATGAAAAGCAGGTACATTTTAGAAGCATTAGATGCAGAGCACCTTCATACTTAGCATGGAATGTAGGTTACTCATCATATACATTGGGGGAAACGGTGAGAAAAAAGGCATCCATACCTATAGGTTTATGCTAATGCCGGTGCACGTGTGAGGACATTCAGACCAGCCCTTAAAACAAACAACGTCCAACATCTGAATAAAGAGTTTTGGCCAATGGAACCGAAGAAGTTCAGCTTCTCATGAAGTCAAGGTCAACCAGCTATACCCTAGATAATACTTCAAGCTGTTAGCTAGAGCCATGGAGACTTTAGACTTTGAATGCAATAGTGAAAGAGGAGATATCAGTTGGTCCGTTTGGCTAGGACAGTGTTCGTCACCACAGAGTGGTATGATAGGGGCGACAACAAGGTTCATCATGTAGGATTGCAAGAATTTTGATAATGTGGCTAACATACCTTCGACAGTTAGTGCTGCTTGCTCTATGGTTTGAGTAAGAGCAACTTATAAGATCTTGTCATTGAAGACCTTGGAGACATTTCGTCTCGCTTGTTGTTGTGTGAGAGGGAGAAAATGTTGCAGCAGAAAAAAAAAAGCTTGCAGATATAAAGGTTGAAGGCGGTGTATTTCTGCCCTTGTTCTTTATCCCGTGTCGAGTCTCCACGCGTAGCAGGTGGGATTTCATCAACTATTTATCAAGACTAAGAGCCATTTGCCCCACGCGGACTTGCTATCACAAGATATAACTTTCGAGCTTCACGGGGTTTTGCGACGTATGAACTGCCCCTTTGTCTGAAACGATTTCGTGCTTTATCTACCATGTCTGATAGAGAGTTCAGCTGTATGTACTCTGTACCTTCTTTCCACCCATTTCTTGGCAGCCCGGCTGACACTCCAACTCATACAGCAAATGATGACCTATCGCTTCCCAAAGGTATGTGATCGAAACCCGCGTTGAGTATATCGCCTTGTCGCATTTAAAGCGATTATCGCTTCACGGCCCTTCATACTCTTGCGCTCCATACAAGCCTACATGTAACTTACTTTATTCCCCACAGCGACGGTCCAAAAGATCATTACAGAGATCCTACCACCATCCTCCGGTCAAACATTCTCCAAGGACGCTCGAGATTTGCTTATGGAATGCTGCGTCGAATTCATTACGCTGATCTCCTCCGAGGCCAACGACATCAGTGAGAAGGAAGCCAAGAAGACAATCGCTTGTGAACATGTGGAGCGGGCTCTGCGTGATCTTGGATTCGGAGACTACATCCCCGACGTTCTTGCCGTCGCAGAGGAACATAAGGAGCAGCTGAAGGTTTGTATCCTGCAGCACTTGCTCGGAAAGACAGCTTTTGCTAACGAGTGAATAGTCGCGAGAGAAGAAGCAAAGCAAGATGGAACAAAGCGGCCTGACCGAGGAGGAACTGTTACGACAGCAGCAGGAGTTGTTTCGCTCGGCCACAGAAAAGTACAATGCTGCTCCGGAATGAGCGCTCGAATCAATACCAGGATACGCTTCACGTTATTCGAGTCTTGCTGATCAAATAGACCCATACGTCTCGGAGTTCTTTGTGCTTTGGGTTCCACTTTCGTACTGATGACACGCACATGCTTTGAAGGGGAAAACGGGTTTGGAGTTTAGGTGGTTATTCAAGTTTTGACTCGGGAAATGCTTAGCAGGCTTGCGATTGTGTTGTCTGCCGTTTGAGCCTTACTTAGATGGAACATCTTTTAACTTACTTCAGTCCCTTGTGCTGTTTATTAGTTTCGCACTAAAGGACGGCTGATGTGATCTTTCTCCTTAAGATTCCGCGTTTCTTGCGTCTCCAACTATTACAATAATGTATAAAGAAGGCGAAACAGATTCTGGAAAGAGGGAATTATGCCCAGAGGCGAGGGTGGGTACACTGTACGCTCAATATATATAAGTCTGGTTCTCCAAAATCAAGGACACCACACTCGGTTCAGGCAGACTCTTTTTATCAAATTGAAGCATATAACAATAGTTAGATTTCAACAACAGCACGACTGTGACCTAATCGCCTTGATATAATGGAACAATTACGAAGGCATCATGCCTCTGATGCTAGAGCTGCTGCTGGTATTGAGGCGGGCGAGTGGCGCCTAACCCAAAGTGGCTGACCGCCCAACTTGGTTGAGACCACAGGGCGCAAAAGGTCGCAGAAGCTCCAACACCGCGGTCGGCTTCACTGCGACAGTTTCCCCAGAGTCCTAAGTTCCATCACGCTGGACTGCCCAGGATGCCGCCCTTTAAGGATGAACACATTCTGGTAAACCTCACTTACCCCACCTCACAACATTCACTTGCCTTATGGCCACAAGGCAACAACCCACTAACCCCTCCCGTTCTAGATAATTGCGCCAGGTTCGCAAGTGACCCTGGCCCAGCTCGGCCTTCCCGAGTCCTTTACTCCTGCACGATTTCGCTTCCCCACGCGCATGTTTCCTGGTGAAAAGAAGGGCGAATATGAACCATATAAGATTCACGAAAAGCGACGCGATGTCAAACCTATCAATGGCGCTGACGCGCCCAAGGAGGACGTGGACATGAAGGATGCGGAAAGCTCTGCGCCCGAGGGTGCAGCGAATACTGTGACAGATGAGAAGCCACAAAACGCGGAAACTGGGGGCCAGCCGGAGAATGGAGAGCCACAAGAAGGCAATGGCGAAACGGCGCAGGAGGCTACACAGGAGGTCTTCTATGAGGAGGATGTCACATCGGATGAAGGCGCGATTTATCCCATCGAAAACGGACGGATTGTCGACTGGCCCTGTTTTTTTTCCCTCTTAACACACGTTTACAACACACTTAGCCCGCCTTTCCACACACCAATAATGCTCATTTCCGAGCCAGTCTGGTCGGCCCGTGATCGCGAGGCGATCACTCAGTTTGTTTTCGAGAAATTTAAGACACCAGCATTCTGTCTAATGGACTCGGCGCTGGCAGTCTGTTATGGATACGGAACATCCACCGCAACAGTTGTCGATGTCGGGAAAGGAAAGGTCGACGTCACCGCCGTGACCGATTTCATGGTCAATGAACACGGAAGAGGTATCGCACTGGAAGGCTGCGGTGGAGATTACATGACCGAAAGACTTCTGGAACTACTGGGACCCAAGGGCTTCACAAGGGAGATGTGCGAGCAATTGAAGAGAAGCAATATCACAGAGATCTTACCGCCGGGGACACCATTCCCCGGCACGGCGGAGACCGCACAACAAGGCGCCAACCCAGCTGTATCAGCCTCGACAGGTGCACAGGACGGTCCCGGTGTGAATGGATCCGTCCCTCGTGGCCCGGGCAACAACACCCAGACCGGAGTTGAAGGGAACAACGCAGACGGCGAAGAAGATGAAGGGGTCCTGGATGTCGCGGCCATCGTCAGTGGGAACACGAGCGAGTTTCTAGCAAAGAGGGAGAGAGAGAGAGCCGAGAAAACTTCCTCGAAGAAGGGTGGAGCGGATCAGGCTGCGAAACCTATTCGTCTGCCGAACTCCAAGAAAGAGAAAGCTTCATTCCAGTATGAGGAGTTCGTACGCCTAGACTCTGACCAGCAGACCACTGACGGTTCTGGACGATTCATCCGTCAAAAACGAGACATCGAGGTTGGTATCGAGCGCTTCTTATCAGCGACTCCCAAAGAACACGTCGGAGAGCGTCTCTCAAGTGGAATCCTAGAGGACATTGCCACTCAAATACATCATACCATTCTCGCCGTCCCCGATGCAACCAAGCGGAGCGAGCTTTGGGACTCATTGATTGTCGTGGGAAATGGTAGCAAGGTCAAAGGTTAGTGGCCTCCATGGGTATTCTCTCGTCGCGGACATATATATTAATGATATCAAACAGGTTTCACACAGGCTTTGCTTGGAGCAATCACACAGAAGTTTATCCTCTCCCCATCAGGCACGATGTTCACGTCTGAAATTCCGTCGAATTTCTCGACCCCACTGCCTACCGGAGGAACCAATACACCCACTCCTTCTGGCCAGCCTGGTCTCATGCATCATCCCGCCGGCCACGGCCTCAATCCTCTGCTCGTTGCTGCGACCCACTCCGGCAACCCGGCGGTAGGTAATATGCCTCCGGGGACACCATCGCTCGACCCTAACGCTGCTTTGCACCATCGGTCTACCGGTCATTCGCAGACTCCCACTTCTGTGAAGACCTTGAGGCCTCCTGAATATTTCCCTGAGTGGAAAGAGCAAAGCAACACCAACGCACCAGGCGCCAGTGGTGCTGGGGGCTTGGGCATGGGCAATGGTGCTGCTGGCAGGCCCAGCGGCCCGTCCAGCGGTGGCCATGGCATGGAGGAGGCGGTGTTTTTGGGTGCTCAGGTCGCATCCAAGGTTGTCTTCGTCCTTGACCAAGGGTTAAGCAAAGGCTTCATGAGCCGCGTGGAGTATAACGAGAACGGGCCGTCGGCGATTCATGAATATATGATGTGATGGTATCGTAATGTCGTTTTGTTTTGCCGATGTGCCATGAGGAGTTCGGCAATGAGGTGTTCCACGTTGGTCCACGATGGTATCCCTTTAATCGATTTTGGACTTGTTGCCCTCTACATATACTATGATTTGTGATCTTATGCTGCTTGCCTCTCAACAATTGTACTTTACACGGTGGGCGTCAGTTCTTCTAGAAAAGCAATTCTCTCAGGATGCGGGTAGGATAGCTGGAGTCGGGTCCTCAGTTGATAGCGTTCAATATACTCTTTCAGCCAGCTGATATGCGCCTTCAAGGCCAAACCGAGCCTTGCTTTCAAATATCCTACCTATTCGTCCCTCTTGATATTAAGACATCGATCTCCTTGTGGGCTTTCCTCTTAGTCACGTGACTATGACTTAGCCACAAACCACCCGCAAGGGCACCCGCCACATCTCTCTTGCCTCGCCGTCAACTATCACCAACCAAGCTCTCTTCATCTGTCTTTCAGTTCCAAAATCCAGACGAAGGTTCGAATCATATCGCTTGCTATACTGAAGTCTGGACTAAACCTCATTACCCGTCCCCACACCGTTCACATTTCTTTCCTTCAATATGCCCCGTGCCGAGGCCGGAAGCACCAAAGCGATCAGCAACAAGCTCAAAGCCGTATGTTCTCTCATTCCTGTCCTACGGCTTTCGAAAAATATCAAGCCACTAACAGATAGCAGAAAGGCTTAGGCAGATTGCGATGGTACTGCCAGGCTTGCCAGCGCCAGATGCGCGATGAAAACGGATTCAAATGGTGAGTATCTCTTTAGTGCCGATGAGCATTCTGGCAAGCCTATACTGATTTTCATCACTTCAGTCATGTACAGAGTGAAAGCCATGTACGACAGATGCTGCTCATCGGCGAAGATCCCAAGAAGCATATCGAGGAATTCAGCAGAGAGTTCATGAACAACTTTATCAATTTGCTCAAGACTACGCACGGCGAGAAGAAGGTTCACGTTAACCAATTCTATCAGCAAGTCATTGCCGATAAGGAGGTGAGTCGAGCGGTAATGGTTTGGATTATGGCGGCAGATCACTGACGTCGATAAAGCACATTCATATGAACGCCACCAAATGGAAGAGTCTTACACAGTTTGCGGCCCACCTTGGTCGGGAGGGTATTTGCCGTGTCGAGGAAACCGAGAAAGGCCTGTTTGTTTCCTACATCGATCGGAGTCCGGAAACGATGCGACGACGGGAGGCGATCCTCAAGAAAGAGCGGCAAGACAGGGGAGACGAGGAGCGGGAGCAGCAGCAGATTCAGGAACAGATCGAACGAGCTCGGCGGAACGCGGAGAAGCAGGATGAGATCGATCCCGAGGCGCGAACTCTGCAGCGCAAGGAGGGCGAGAAGGTGAAGCTCAATATCGGTTTTGGGTCGAAAACAAATGGAGAGTCGAAGTCAGTGGCGTCGAGGACGCAGTCGCCAGAGGAGAAAGACAGGGGCACCTCTTCAGCGACACCAGACACAAGTGCGGTTGAGTCTCCTGCGCCTCCGGTGGAAGTTGCATCACAACCCGCGGCGCCGAAGCTCTCCATGTCGTTCAACAATAATAAGCCGAAGAATGTTTTCGCAGCCGTGGCGAAGAAGAACCCTCTTGCAGGAAAGAAAGGGCCGGTGGTGGAACAACCTAAGAAGATGACCGAGCAGGAGCGCATCATGAAGGAGGAGATGGAAGCGATGGAGCGCAAGCGTTTGCGAGCAGGTTCGGGCTTTCCGAATGCCAAGCGTCCGAAGATCTCCTAAGGTGATGGATTGATGGTGAATACGTCCGCATTCAATCTCTACAAGCAACCGGTATGCCGCGACTTCCGTTCTGCGCGCGCATCCTGACTCTCGATCATATGTCGACACTCCAGACCTGAGAAGCATCAGGTCTCAGGGAATTTCTCTTTGGAGTTCAATCACCGGCAACGGCTCCGATTTGCGACGGTTATTTGATCAACCATTCTAGCCAATTGTCCTTATCGACTCGCCAATTCGGCGCAATGTGCGTCTCTACACAATCCCCAGCGAAGGGTTTTGTGATTTCGAATCCTGAAAAGCACAAGATTATTGCGAGATCGTACCTCTTCGATGACATAGCGATTCGTTCCGATCCGAGGAAGTATTGTCATTTCCTCTTCCACACCTACTCTAGGCCTTTCAGCTTATGGTTCCATAGCATAGCTATCTTTCAACACGTCTTCACAATTAGCGATATATCGGTCTCGTTTCCAATCTTATCTCAATAATCAATATCTTGGTTATTCTATAATGCTTGTTGATGGCGAACTCTATCACGGCAGCTTGAGCATATACCCTCCATCGCTATGGGCACATTTCTTCTTGTTAGATAGGTCCGCGCACAGTCTGAGCAAACGGTTGCCTAGTACAGCTTCCTGCTCTGATGCCTGGGTCATGTTACCTTCAAGTGCACCATTAGAGCTTCTCTTTTCAAGACAATATGTGAGCCTTAATAGACCTGTCGTACTTTGTCCAGTGGTAGAATTCAATCGGGGAGAGATGTAGGAGGGACAAAATGGCCAAATTACATATCTATGCCTATACTACATATATAACGCGACTTGATCTAATTGGGAAAATTCATATCTGCTTTGACTCGATCGCATGGGTGATAGGACCGAGCCAGACACGACCTGTGAGAAGAGCTTATTCACTTAATCCAGGGGCTCTGAAGAGGTTGTCGGATAGCTCATGAGCCAGTATATGGTCTGATGAAGCGGAAAAGACCGGGTCGAGCTACGCTGTTCTTAAAAGGTGGCTACAATGCTGTCGACAGCAGGAGATTGGCAAGGGGATAGATCTGTGTCTAGATTCGAGAATATACATTGCACATCATCCAGGAATATGACGCTGGCGGCTAATATGCCCACCAGATATCACAAGCAGTTTGTTGTGGTCATTAAGATAATTACAAGAACCCTAATGTTAAATAACATGCATAAAGTTAAAACTGCTTTAGAAGTTCTAGCTGTTTGTGTATGACATCCTTGCAACGGAGAGAATTCACACCCTCTCTCCCTCAACTGTGGGTTTGTACCTGGCTTATGTAATTAAAATAACTTTGGCCCTAACATCGATGGCCCGGGTGGTCTAGTGGTATGATTCTCGCTTAGGGATTAACCCAAGCATATCTGCGAGAGGTCCCGCGTTCGATCCGCGGCTCGGGCCAGTCTTCACTTTTTGCTTTTTGTTTACTTATCTGCACTGGAATGCAGCAAGTTACCTTTTCAAGTTGTTTTACATATACAAGGAGTACTGAGACAAATCCTACCCAAAGAGCAGGTGATAAGCAGGTTCACAACGTGTCGAAGTTCGGGTTCTCTTCCCGAAGCCGAAGTCGCAATTGGCATTTCCCCATAATATCTTGCTTCTCGATCTCGCTACTTTCTCGGGTTGATTCAATTCTTCTACGGACACAGTGGGCTCAATCAATATCGACATAATTCGACAAAATGGCATCAGAACGTTCACTTGCGTTCATTGGCTGCGGTATATACAAGAGCTCCCCTTGATTGTGCGACCGTGGAGCTAACCGTCTGAAAGGAAATATGGGATCAGCTATTTTGAGCGGCCTCCTTGACGCGACCCGTCCGACAGATTCCAATGCTACTACATCAGCAAAGATCTCACGTTTCATTGTGAGCACGAAGAGCGCTGCATCTGCTCAGCGACTCCGCGATGAATTCAAAGCGGATGAATCTCGGCTTCACATTGCTCATTCGCAGAATCTTCGAGCCATGCAAGAGGCGGATATTGTCCTGCTTGCGTGCAAACCTTATCTGGCCGAGGAGGTTTTGAGTGAGGCCGGTGTGCGGGATGCCCTGGCAGGAAAATTGGTGATCAGCATCATGGCCGGAAAAACACCTGAAGATATTGAGAAGTATATCTATCACGATTCGTCTGCAGATGAAGTCGATTCTAAGGCGATTATCGTGAGAGCAATGCCCAATGTCGCAGCTCGTCTGCGTCAGTCGATGACTATCATCGAGGTCAACAACGATCTTTCGGATCACCTTGCCGACACCCTGACCTGGATTTTCGAACAGATCGGAAGGGTAAAGTTCCTGGCGACAGATTTGTTTGATATCGGCTCAATACTCGTGGGTTCCTCCATTGCTGTTCTGACTGTTCCGTTGGATGGCATTCTGGATGGCTGCGTTGCGGAGGGGATGCGAAGAGCGGATGCGTTGGAAATGGCAGCACAGAACTTGATCGGAATGGCTGGTTTATTGCGAGAAGGGGTGCATCCGGCTATCCTAAGAGAAAGTATTTCGTCCCCGCGGGGTTGTACGATCCAGGGTCTGTTGACTGTGGAGAAGGAGGGCGTGAGAGGAGCGTGTGCACAAGCGATGATCAACGGGGCTAGACATCTGAAAGAGATGCCTTGATTTGGTGGGATTAAGAAAAGAACTCTCTAGAAGATAGATGGAAATCGACCTGTAATAACAATGGAACTTGTTAGTGGTTTTGACTGTCTCTGGATGTAGCGCGGGATCTCAAACCGAGAGTTTGTCGGAAGGGGTGTCCGAGGTCATATGTACAAGAACATGAATCGAGTCATAAGATGCGAACAGAGGGTTCCTGATTGTTTTTCATCTTGAAACCAATCGGGGACCAGGCCGTCATGCGTTGATCTACAGCATCTGAAATAGCTGGCAGACTTGACCCCTCACGAGAGACGAACAGGACGGTATGAAAGATAAATAGCAACATAGACACGATGTAGTGGCTGTTATGGGAAGCGTTGTTGCTGGAAAACCTCAAGATGTCAGTGATATCCTTAGTGCCAAAGCGACCCAACATTGTGTCCTTGTTTGCAGTCAAACAATTACAATGTCAAGTTTCAACATCGACCACACATCGTCCTCGAGATGCCACCAGTTCACAGCCATCTCCATCGCCAAAGAAGGCACCTCTCTCAGTCCTGCCAACAGGAACCCTTCTTCGCTCGCTTTTGTTTACATCCATCATGTCCTCTCCCTTACTGGACCCTTGTTTATCAATGCTGAAATACGTGGTTGATTCCAAGTCTCCCCTCCTCAACCCATCAAAGAACCCGTTGGTAGATTACCTCCTTCGAAGAACAATCTACAATCACTTCTGCGCGGGCACAAACGAGGCTGAAGTGCGCAAGACCGTTCAGGATATGAAGGGCCTAGGATTTGAGGGTGTTATCCTTGGATACGCGAGAGAGTCAATTGCGAAGGCGGACGAAAACAACAACGATAGCTTCCAAGTCGAGAAAAGTCAACAAGCAATTCAAGAGAATGCAGTGGAGGAATGGAGACAAGGAAACCTACGAACACTGAAGATGATTGGTGCAGGAGACTTCCTTGGAATCAAGTAATGATCCTATCCACAACCGAAGACTGCGCCAACTCGAACGAGAAATAGCTAACAGACATCAGATTCACCGGTGCAGGCCCCAAAGCCGTTGAAGCCCTTTCTCGCGGTGACCTCGTTCCGCCTCCTTCTATTGCGCAAGCCATTACAGAGATCTGCGAGGCCACAGCATCCCAAAACTCCCGTCTCTGGATTGACGCAGAACAGCAAATTTTCCAGCCAACGATCGACATGTGGACGATTGATCTCATGCGAAAGTTCAACCGCAATGGCAGGATAGTTGTCTACAACACCATCCAGGCGTATCTGAAATCCTCGACCGAGAACGTCCATCGGCACCTTTGCCTAGCTCAAAAGGAAGGATGGACATTGGGAATCAAGCTCGTTCGCGGCGCCTACATCGCGCATGATATCAGATCCCGGATACACGATACCAAGGTTGATACGGATAACAGCTACGACCATATTGTTGAGAGCCTTTTATCACGAAAGTCTCCACTCAAAATAGGTTCTGACAATGCGTCAGCGTTTCCGGATGTACGGTTATTCGTGGCCTCTCATAACGCGGAGAGCGTGCGCAAGGCGTCGTCACTGTACAGACAGAGGATTCATGACGGACAACCCACGATTCCAGTTGAGATTGGCCAGTTGCAAGGAATGGCAGATGAAGTGAGCTGTGAGTTGTTGGCTGAGAATAACACTGGTCAGTCGGAGACCTCGACAACAGTTCCTACAGCACTTGGAGTATTCAAGTGTCTTGCCTGGGGGACAACGGAAGAATGTCTCCATTTCCTGTTGCGAAGAGCGATTGAAAATAAGTCGGCCATGGAGAGGACCAAAGACACAGCCGCAGCGATGCGCCGGGAAGCCCGGAGGAGACTTGGGTGGTGAGACATCAGTATGCAGGGTGAATCTCAGCCATTCTTTGTCGAGATCAATTCTTCGAATGAGTACACCTTGGATAAATTGCTGGTCTGCACGCCACGGAGACATGGACCAAGCGTCCACTAATCACGCTGCGACAACTCAGTCATGTTAACTGTCACGCGAGCTCCTCACAATAACACAGAATGCGGGGAAGTACTGAGCTTTCGATTTTACGTCAAGAAAAGAGGATCAATTTCCATTGCCAGGCTTCTTTCTTTTGACCATCGGCAGCTGTAACCGAACTTTCGAAGGGTCTGAACTCCGGAGGTGACTCCGTGATCTTGTCGATATCAATATAGTCTTCTATTCATCCTCTATATCTTCGAATAGACGGTTTGATGATTGTCATTCCCAACTCGGTTCTCATAATGGCTAGGATTCCAGTCTTTAACGTAAAAGGACATCGGCTGCTGGTATCTTCCAATACATCATAACGCTCAAGATCACTTTGGAAGCTGAGCTTGAATCTCAGGTGGCACATTGCCCTTGCCAATAAAACGGATCCACCGTCCAGTATTCTCAAATTCATCCTTGACTCCTTCAACCACCTGATTGTTCGCCGTTACCTGGCCACCCAAACCTACGACACCGACCTCCTCAGCGTAGATAGCCCAGAGTCTCAACAAGTCATTGAAGATCTCAGGCTTCTCCTTGCTCAAATCGTTCGTCTCTCCGGGATCCTCTACAATGTCAAAGAGCTCCCACCGTTGCGGGCCCCGAGGGAGGGGAACATAAGTAATCTTGTACCGTCCCTTTCGCAGGGCACCACTCCCAGCTATCTCCCAGCCCGTGACATGATCGTCGCCGTGGATCGATGACGGGGCCAGAGAAGTGTCCGTGCCAGCGGCCGTTATGGCGTCCAGGAACGGCTTCCAACTGACGCCCCGAACACGTTCGATCTTTCGTCCTTGATACGTGGTTCCCGGATGTTGCAGGCCGGCATATTCTAGAATAGTCGGGACAATGTCCATCACCGTACAAAAGGCATCGATGACTCGGCCACCCTGATGCAGGGCTTCCGGATTGCCCGCTGGCTTCACGACCAAGGGAACCCGGCAACCACCTTCTGTGGAGAACATCTTGTAGAGTCGCGATGGTGCTGTAGCTGCTTGGGCCCACCGACTGCCGTACCACACGTAGGAGTTCGGTTGCCCGATATTCTCCAACGAATTATCATAGTACTTCTCCAGATGTGCTGTGATACCACTGCCACCGAGAGGTGATGCCTCGTAACTGGCGCCCTCGGCGCCATTGTCTGACATGAAGCAGATGATGGTGTTGTCGTATTCACCGGACTGTCGTAAATAGTCCACAACTCGGCCGATATTCTCATCCATCACTTCCACCATGGCGGCGTAGACTTCCATCGCACGAGCGGATTTTGCCCGCTCTTCGTCGCTCATCTTCTCCCAATCAAGGTCACCCGGTCCGGTCACGACTTCGTGGGGCACAATGTCGGGCGCAACCAAGCCCAGTTCCTTCAGTCTTTCGAGCCGCTTCAGTCTCAATGCAGCTGGGCCGTCATTGTACTTTCCGCGATACTTATCCACATAAGACTTGGGCGCTTGCAGAGGCCAGTGGGGAGCGGTGAAAGGGAGGTACGCGAAGAATGGCTTTCCTTTCTCCGACTCCGGACGCTCAGAAAGAAACTCAATGACTTTTGAGGCGTACGCCTTGGAAGAATAAAAGTCATCTGGCAGCTTTGTAGAATATTCAGAGTCTTCCATGTGGAGAGCTGTTACTGTTGTGTGAAAGAAAGGGTGGACGTCTCCGACAATGTCATCATACTGAGGTTCATAGCCTTGGGACGTGTTAGCAACCCTCAGGTTCACATAAAGATATACCGCTTGCACAATCTCACCGTAATGATTCGCCGCACCAGAAAGCATAGCGTACGATTTGGCAAAGCCCCGAGCATGTGGCGAGTACTCCCGCTTCAAGCCCAGGTGCCATTTCCCCGACATCAAAGTATAGTAGCCGCCGTCCCTGAGAAGCTCCGGCAATGCCACAACCCTCTCGTTCAAGTACCCTTCATGACCCCGGGCACCTTGGTGAGCGCGAGATAGGGCTATATACTCCGGCAATTGGCCTAAACCGGTCAAATGGTGGTCGGTTCCGGTCATGAGCATGGACCGCGTGGGAGCGCAGGCCGCAGCAACATGAAAGGAATTGAACCGCAGTCCACCCGGAGCATTGGCCAAGGCATCGATGTTAGGGGTACTAATCTCAGATCCGAAGCAACCGCAGTCGCTGAATCCGAGGTCATCGGCGACGATGACCAGGAAGTTAGGCCGCGATGTCATCTTGAAAGGACGATTGGGCTGGGAAGCCGCAAGCTGTGAATATGGAAACGGCTTTCTCGAAAGAGTATTATCGAACGATGCGAACAGGTACTGCTTATATACCTTGTATAGTTGCCAGATGATTGCGTCGCAAGCTCGTCGGGAACAAAATGACTCCACATCGGCTATAGCCTGCGATGTGTCCATGCCCAATCACAACAGCGAATGAACTTGGCTATCTCCGTCTCACAATCGAGTCCGGTTATTGCACCATCGTAGAATAAAATCGCCAATCGCATCTGAGCTTTCAATGCTTCGCTTTCAGACTGCATTGCTTGTGTTATCGGGTCAGTTGGAAGACTGCCAGAGGAGTCAGCAGGAGTCAGCAAATCACCGGTTCGAAAACAACCTACCCATGTCGTTTCGGCGTAATATCTCAATTGCATGTTGGATGCCGGAAATGAGCAATCAACTTAATATGTCTGCTTTCTTCCCCCAGGATGTCATTGTTTCTGGGTTCGTGACGCCACAAGCTGTAGGCCCATCCTACCTCGCCAACTCGAAGACGCGATGAGCTGAAGATCGTCTTAATAGTATTTACCAACCGAGAAGACACTTGACAGTATTGACAAAGATTAGAAGACCTTATTTGCTTTTCTTCTGATAGCCTCGAGCAGTTTGAACGTGCGAGGCTCTCGGTGTGTATTGGCCGGCAAGGAAGAGCAGAATGGGAGGTTGGACTGATTGACCATGATGACTGTATTCAAGCAACGCATAAGCTTTTGACTAGGAATCTCGTGATAAGAAAGATGGACAACTTACGGCTGAATGTTCTCTATCACCTGTGCAATGGATGCGAGATGGATGCTAATAAAAATAGATACCAACGAATCTCAATCAGTAATGTAAGTGCCTGATGCTGGTCCAATAAAGTCGGGAAGTAAAGCTGCGTAAGGCGGGCAAGGCACACTCACTTGACCTTCGTTAGCCAGTCTGTTATTTCATCTCATTTCATCTGAAACGAGTCCTCCCATACTCCAATGAGTTTCAACGAAATTCATGATTCGATTCCCGAATAAATGAGTTGACTGGCTGATGTAAGATCAAGTAGTAAGCACATGTCATTGAAGCAGGTCTGCCTCCGAGCTAGCTAGCAACAAGGTCGTAGTTATGTACATCATAAAAGAAACGTATAATACACTTGTTAAAAGCCTGAGGATCTTCAATTGGTGCTGACTGACACCTCATCCTCAAGCAACGAACTGCCGACGCCGACGGTCATTCAAGCCACCAGACAGCGCAGCGGCTGCCCTAACGTCCAGCCTTCTCTTGTTATTGCCGTGACCAGTCGATGATCCCTTACTCTCACCCAGGATAGCCCACTCAGCAACAGTAGCACCTTTGTCGCCGCCTGCCTGAGTACCCGAAATCAGCAGAGTGGCGTAGCGAGACGTGTGCACAGCCTGCGACAGATTCACATCGGTTGTGTTACCGCTAGGCATGGCTACTTCGTTGTAGTTAGTGCTCGCGGCATTATAAGGCTGAGATTGCTCGATGTTCGTCAACGTGGTGACGACTTTGTACTGGGAGTTACCGTGAGCGGAAGACATCGCAGCGACCGGGTCCTCCAGCATCTCGTCGTGGAATATGACAGTGGCGTTGACGGGAGGAGCTTGCCACCAGTCAAAGTGGAAGCCAGAGACCTTGGAGTTGATCTCAGCGTCGGCCAGGGTCACGGTCAACGAGCTCATGTTGGCGGTGGAAGGCTGCCACTTGGTAGAGGTTGCACCGTCCACGGCTGCGATGGGAAACTGGCCGGGAGCGTAGTCATTAGGCGAGTACACAGGGCGACATTGCACCATGTTGCCAGGGATGGTGTTGTTGAATCCAATCTGTCTGTTGGAAACAACCAGGGGCCCGGTGGCTGGAAGTTGGTAGGCAGTTGAGTTGTTGAGGTCGCCAACCAAGACAGGGATGGAGGCGTTGGCAAAGCGAGAGTCAGCCGTGTCGAGAGGTGCAACGTTTGCGGCTCGGCTGATAGTCGTATGGGTGCGGTTGGAGCTCGCGGAAATAGGCCACCCGCGCCAATAGAAAGTGCGGTACGCCACGTTCGAAACCTGAGGGGGCAGGTTGGGGTCAATATGAATGGCATCATCAGGAAGCAGTCTCAGTCCCAGGTATCCGAAGAGGACGACCTGGTTGGCACCACCGTGTCCTGTCAAGAAGGGATAAGCCGGGTGAGTGCCACCGTTGATACTGGCGTCGTCGATCGTTTGTTCGGAAAGTTGGTAAAATGGGGCTCTCATGTACGGGTCGTAAGAGTTCTGATGGTAGGTATAGGCAGAGCAGCCGGATGGTGAGACATCATTGGCAGTGATTGCAAAAATTGCCCATGTCATAGCAGGTCCGTCAGGAGACTGGCTGTTGGCATACTGTATGCAACATAAATGGTTAGACCATTCAGTGTCAGCACAAAATGAGGAAAGCAGAATGCACTCACATAGTCGAGGTCATTCAAAGAGTTCTGGGATGTATAGTTGTTGTCGTAGACCAAAGGATAGGTGACAAGCACTACATCAGCCTGCTTCACCACAGTGGTGCCGTTCATGGTAGTATACTCGAGCGTCACGCCGTTCTCCCTGATGACAAGGACATTTTCTGAGATTTCCGTCCAGGTCTCATTCTGTTCGAGACCAAACTGCTTCCGGAAGGAATTGGCGTAACTCAGTGTCTCGGAGATAAGTGGCATCGTGAAGCCACCGGCATCAACGTGGTTGGCATATTCATCCTTAAAAAATGATTAGTATCGAAGTATGCGAAATCCGAATAGTCAAACGTACCGGATCAGTCATATTGGTCAGCGTCCAGGAGGAACCATTGCGCTGAACGATGTTCGAATACATGGTGGCAATGGAGTCGTAAATGGGGAGATGCTGCTCGCGGAAAACCTGCGTGTCGCCGCTCGCAATCCATTGATACATCAGGGAGAGCCCGATATCGCCATTCAGGTGATACTGGTAGTCCCAGCAAGGACCAGTACCCGTACAGTTACCGAAGCGACCACTTGTCCAAGGATAGATGGCTGCCGAAGGCGAGAAGGAGGTCTGGTTCTTCGAGCTTGTAAAAGCAGTGTTGATATTCTCAAGTGCCTGTTGGTATTGGATTGTTCGGAAATTGGTCACTCTCTGCGCAGCCTCGGGGTGAGACGCCACCAGACCTGGCTGCATCCAAACGTCGGCGTCCCAAAAGACGAGACCAGCATAGGAATCAGAGGTTAAACCACCGACGGAGATGCTGTTGACATTGACTGGAGCTCCGGAAACAGCCTTGATGGCATTCTTGCCCACGGTGTTCTGCAGAAGGTAGTACGTGTTTGCGACCGCGATGATCTGGGAGTTGATGATGTGCTCATCATCTGGCAATTTTCTGGTGGCAGGGTCGACAAAGCTGTCTACTGAACCGTCCAGGAGAATGCTGGCCCATTCTGCTACATGTGACTGCAGCGATCTCATGTAGCCGGCTCCCATTGCCGCAGACACCGCTTGCTTTGCCGTCTGTTGCGGGTTAGGGAATGCGTCCGAGGACGCAGCGCCAACGAACTTGGTGATCCGGACGGTCTCATTCGCAGAGAACTTGACGTTGACAGCCTGCGCAATGGATGATTCATTGCTATGGACATAGGGCTTGCCATTGACAAGAGCTCGAGAAGACAGATCCACACCATTGGAGGCAGTCAAGTTCGTGTAGACATAGGCCGTGACATTTGAGATTCCCCAGGGCCGCACGGCCGAAAAGATAGCTCCATTGTCTTGGCCGGATTCCACGAAATCGGTACGGACAGCCGAGTACCCATCAATGACATTGACCACTGTTGCCCGAGACTCCTGAGAAGGGGTGATCTCCATATCCACCACGGCTTGGTTGACATGCAGCTTGTGAGCAAACAGCCGGTACGTGATGTTGAAAGAGCCCTTGTTACCGCAAGGAGTCCATGTGTACGACCAAGACAACACCCCGGACTTGAAATCGTACGTGGATCGGAAATCAGCGATCGTCTTGTTGTCCACGGTAGCATCGAGATAAGTGCCGTTGCCGAGGTCGAGAATCAGTCCACTCCAGTGTGGGACACCGCTAATCACGCTCTCACCCCCGTACTGATTGAGCCAGGGGAAGTTAGAACCATTCGTGGTTGGCTGATAATCAAAAAACCCAGCAATAGTCGCAAAGGTCTGTCTCCTGGAATACAGAGGCCAGCCGTTGATCACGTCGCCGTCAACTGGAGTGTCCAATTCGAAGAATGGGCCGACGCTCGCAACGTTGATTCCAAGGTAACCATTCGCAATGGAACCGCGTGATTGGAAGTGGCCCTGATCCAGGGTAGTAGTCGAGAGCAGCCAATGGTCATCATCCCAGGTCACTCCAGGGAATCTAGTCTTGTAGACATTCGACGAATTGGTATCAACTTGTTTGTGCCCATGACCGGCATGTCTCTTCAAGCTCCTCGCGATGCGATCATTGTTGTTCGAGAAGCCGAACGTTGCGGGGAGACACGCGAGCAGTGACACCCACGTCGCCAGGTTCTATCAATCTGGTAAGCTGACATCGCTTGACATTGGTCTAAAGAGCAGACCGCGTGCCCACCTTGGAAAGCATCCCGGATAGCCTCTTAGGGCAGTTAAATCAGCCCGAAGAAGGATCCTGTTGCAAAGGCTTTTGGAAAGTCAGCGTGCACTCTTCACAATCAGACGTAAGGAGGTTCCATCCCACTTAAATAACAGGAGAATACTCGCCACACTTGAAGAGAAAAAAATGCCGGCCGTTTTGCTCACTCTTCTTCTCCACACTCGTATCCGAGACCGGAAAGACGGAGTGTCGATCCCCACACGCTGACTGACTGGATGCCCCGGACGGGCTCCCGTGTCCCCGAATCAAGGCGGGTTGGGGAACACGCCGAACGAGTAGGATTTCAGGAAACAGGATGCGTCGGATGACGCTCAGACTTTCTGAACCGACCCAACGTT